AAGAGCAGCCTGCAGCCGCGGGAAGCCGGCGGGCGGGGAATCCAGCCCTGGAGGTGGTCAGCCCTGCTCACAGCCTGAAGCCGGGCCCAGCTCAGGAAAGCCACTGGGCCTCTAGGTGCAGTACTCACTCTCTTGCTCCATTTCCTTGGCTGACAAATGAGACGTGTACCTGCCTTCCACACTAAGTGGGAGGGCTAGAGGTGGCCACCTAGTGTCCAGCTCCCCAGCTCTGCACACCACAGGTACTCCAGGACTTCAACTATTTTATGGAGCACTGGCTAAGCACTAGGTGCCAGGTATTCTACACGGGCTCTCATTTATCCTTCAAACACCTTAGACAGGTGCTGTCATCTCTTTATGCCTTGCAGCAACAAATCCCGAGGAACTTGGACCAAGGCTGATGAGTGCAAGAGCCACTACAGCTGGCAATATTTGAACATATGGGGGTGGGAAATGGAACATGACCACCTTCAGATTAAGGCCTGAAAGGGAAACGGGTTTGTGGAAACAAGCTTGTGACCCAGTCCTGCCTGAACCCCACTTTGGTCTGACCTTGATCCTCCATTGTACCCTGGCCCCACGTCTTTCAAACCCCTTATTTGTGCTCATTTACCCCTAAGTGATCAACTCCTCTGGCCTGTACCCATTCCCAGATACAAGAAGAAACTGCCAACCAAAATCAAAAATAGTGTTATTAATTCTGGTGTCTCTGAAGCACAGAAAACAAAACAAAACAAAAGACCAAAAAAAAAAAAAAAAGAAAAAAAAAAAAAAAAAAAAACCAAAAAAAAAAAAAAAAAAAAAGAAAAAAAAAAAAAAAAAAAAACCAAAAAAAAAAAAAAAAAAAAAGAAAAAAAAAAAAAAAAAAAAACCAAAAAAAAAAAAAAAAAAAAAGAAAAAAAAAAAAAAAAAAAAACCAAAAAAAAAAAAAAAAAAAAAGAAAAAAAAAAAAAAAAAAAAACCAAAAAAAAAAAAAAAAAAAAAGAAAAAAAAAAAAAAAAAAAAACCAAAAAAAAAAAAAAAAAAAAAGAAAAAAAAAAAAAAAAAAAAACCAAAAAAAAAAAAAAAAAAAAAGAAAAAAAAAAAAAAAAAAAAACCAAAAAAAAAAAAAAAAAAAAAGAAAAAAAAAAAAAAAAAAAAACCAAAAAAAAAAAAAAAAAGAAAGAAAGAAAAGAAAAGAAAAAGAGAGAGAGAGAAACCACTCTTCCCACATTTCAGGCCCCAGGTCCAGGCCAAGGGGCCACTTCTGCAGGCAGAGCAGGCCCAGGGTCCTGGCCACAAGTTCAAAGTGGGACCAGCCCATGGGTTTGGCTCTTAGGGCCTGCTGGGAAGCTGACTGCCTCAGTTTGGGGAGCCCAGGTCTTGGACTAGAAATGAGATCAAGGGTCAAGGTCAAAGATCTGGGCCAATGAGTTCCGGTACTCTGGCTAAGGCAGCCAGAGGTCAGGGTTCACACGTGGGAGCCAAAGCCACTCAGTTCCGTGGTCCAGCAGAGAGGGCCAGAGGCAGCTGAGAAGTCCAAGTTACTGAGTCCTGGGATGGGATCCAGCAGGCACCAGGCCGCTCAGTACTGGTGTTCCAGCAAAGGCTGGGCAGCAGGGCTCTCGCGTTCCTCAGCAGGGGCAGGCCAGTCACCCGGGGCCCCAGTGGGCGTGCCACTCTCAGGGGCACTGCAGTCCAAGTCAGGAATGTCCTGAGCTGCCCTGGGGGGTGAGGCCTCAGTGCTGACATCTGGGCTGAAGCTGAGGTCTAGAGGCACCTGAGGAGGCGAGATAGGTTGCCAGATGAGCAGACCTGAGCCTTCTGGGACCCAACCCTCCCACAGATCCTTTACCTGAGATTTGGGGGTGCCTCCTTTGGGGCTCCCTGAGGCTGGCTCTCCATCAGATCCTCCCAGCCCCTTCCGACCCCCTAGGCTCCATTTCCCACTGGGGCCTTCAGAACTAAGGAGACCAGGGCCAGGGGGCCGTGAGGGCCGAGGACCCTCAGTGGGGGCAGGTGAGGCAGGGGGTGGTCCAGGAAGCCGAGGTGGGGGCCACTGCAGCAGGGGAGGGGGCCGCCCATCACCAGAGCTGCTCATAGAGGGCCGCGGCCCCCAGCCAGGGCCTGGTGGGAGAGGTTGGTCACCACTGCCTGTAGGAGACAGATAAGAGAGCAGAGACTCAGCTGGGCTGTCCTCCTCACCCACTGGTTCAGCCCAGCCTCGCTGGCTCACCTGCTGTGTTCTCAGGCGTGGGGTGTGCCAAGGGAGGGTTATTGCTGAGGGAGGTCAGGCCGCCACCTCCACAGTCCGAGTCGTCCACATTCCCACCACTATTGCAGCCAGCACCACAGCCTTTATGAAGCCTGGGGTGGGTGAGGCAGGTTGAAAAGGGGTCAGAGCATGGTATGGTTGAGGCCAGAGGCCTTAGAAGCACAAGTCCACAGTTCCAGGGCAAGCCATCTAACATCACCAAGCCCAAAGGCGCTCATCGCTAATCAATTTTGACACTTGTTAACTGTGTTTTAGTGAAAGGCTATGGGGTTGGTAGGTGGCATGGTGACTAAGGTGCTAAACTCTCGCATGGCTGACCATGGCTTGAGTCCTGGACCTGGTGGCTTGGTTTCTCATTTTTCCTCTCTCTCCTCTCAAATTAAAAAATGATGATAATAAATAATTTCTTAAAAAATAAAAAAAGCTGGGACAAACAGATGGCATAATGGTTTACATCACTGGACTTCCACGCAGTCGACCGTGGTTTGAGTCCCAGACCTGGTGGCTTAAAACTCTTGCTAGGCGCACATGCGTGTATGCCCAAAATCCCAAGAGAACAGATTATGGCATGGCCATCCCCCTGGGAGGACGATTTCTCACTTTCTGTCTCTCTGGTGAGCACACATGCCCTATAGCAAAAATCTCTCTCTTGAAAATAAAAGGCCAGGTCTTGCAGGTGACATGGTGGTTGGTTAAGGGCACTGGACTCCCATATGACTAACTGCCATGTGGTCAGGTCCTGGACCTGGTGGCTTACTTTCTCACTTTCCCTCTCTCTCTCTCACTCTGTCCTCCTCTGGTCAAAATTTTAAAAATAAAGTAAAATGAAATAATTCTTAAAAAAAAAAAAAAAAAAGTTAAAGGCCACTGTGACCTGTAGGGGAAGAATAAGGACCTCCTGGAGGGAGAGGATCAGGTCAGCTCTGGAAAGGGGGTCATCCCTTGGAGTTGAAACCTTGGCTCCAGCACTTCCTCACTCTAAGCCAAAGGAGGGAGTGACTTCCCCTCTCTGCACCTCAGCTTCCTTCCATGACCCCCACATACTATCCTTTCACAAGGGCTCTCCCTTCACCAGGCCTCTGGGGCGAGGGCTGGTGGGCAGAGCTCACCTCTCCCAGCTGTGCAAGAGCCAGCGGGCGATGGCACCCAGGCTGATGGGGCCACCCCACAGCGCCCGCAGCTGGGGGTGGCTGCCGGCCAGTGAGGTGGTGAGGGGTGATACATAGATGGGGTAGCCCAGCGGCTGGTCACAGGAGGAATTGATCATGTTGCGGAGTGCTTGCTTGGCGTTCTGGATGCTGCCACGCTCGGGGTTGCGGTTGCGCAGAAACACTAGCTCCTGCTGCTGCCCGGCCCACAGGCCTCTCACACACTCACGGTTCACCTGTGGGCAGTCGCACCCAAGTGTCAGGGGGCTGGCGCCAGGAAGAGGGGCCTGGGCCAGGGTGCATAGGGCTATCCCCACCTTGATGACGCGGAAGCTGAGGTGGCGCCGG